ACCGGAACCCCCCAGGAAAGTTAATGGGCCTCATGGGTCATAGGGGAGAGGAGGAGGCAGGCCACAAGAGGTGGCACGCGCCCCCCAGGCCAGTCCGAATTGGACAAGTGGTGGGGGCGCGGCCCCCCTTTCCTTCTACCTCTCCCCCTCTTTCTCCTTTCCCCCTCTCCGTTGGATGGAAGGGGGAGCCGACTAGGACTAGGAGTCCTAGTGGGACTCCCCCGACTTGGCGCGCCCCTAAGGCCGTCCAGACTCCCCCCTTCTCCTTTATATACGAGGGCAGGGGCACCCCAGAGGACATCAACTATCTTAGCCGTGTGTGGTGCCCCCTCCACCATTTACTCCTCCAGTCATATTGTCGTAGTGATTAGGCAAAGCCATGCGAGGATGACATCACCAACACTGTCACCACGCCGTTGTGCTAATGGAACTCATCGACTCCTTCGTACCTCTACTAGATCTAGAGTTTGAGGGACGTCATCGAGCTGAACATGTGCAGAACTCAGAGGTGCCATACATTCGGTACTTGATCGGTTGATTCGAGAAGAAATTTGACTACATCATCCACGTTAAGTTAACGCTTCTGCTTTCGGTCTACGGGGGTACATGGACACACTCTTCCCCTCTCGTTGCTACGCATCTCCTAGATAGATCTTGCGTGAGCGTAGGAATTTTTTTGAAATTGCATGCTACGTTTCCCAACAATCATCTCATTAACTGTTCACAATCTATTGCTCTTAATAAGAAAACTCCAATTGAGGTATGGTCTGGTTCACCTGCTGATTATTCACAGTTGAGAGTTTTTGGTTGCACTGATAATGGAAAGTTGGAGCCTAGGGTTGTTAAGTGCATCTTTCTTGGTTATAAGTCTGGTGTTAAAGGTTTTAAATTGTGGAATCATGAAACCCAGAAGGTTGTTATTAGAAGAAATGTTATCTTCAATGAAACTGCTATGTTACATGATGTTCCATCTACTAATGTTTCTGTTGAGAGTGAACAGCGGTCTATTGTTCAGGAGCCTACTGTTCAGGTGGAGCATGTTATTAATTCCAGTGCTACATCCAATAAGGAAAATGTTGATGCACATGATGAACTCGTCGTTGATGATGAACGTGTCACTCCAAATCAGCCTATTGTTCTGCCCAGTTGGAATTTTGCACGTGACAGTGTTAGGCCAGGTGTTAATAAACCTGACAGGTTAATTGAACAGTGCAATATTGTTTCTTTTGCTTTATCTGTTGCAGAAGAAAATGAAGGTAATTTTGAGCCTTTTTCATATTCCGAGGCTATTATTTCTGGTGATAGTAATAAGTGGATGACCGCTATGCATGATGAGATGGAATCACTTGAAAAGAATGGCACTTGGGATTTAGTAAAATTACCTAGAGAGAAGAAACCTATTCGTTGCAAGTGGGTTTTCAAGAGGAAAGAATGTGTTTCTCCTAATGATGAGAGAAGATATAAAGAAAGGTTAGTTGCTAAATGTTACAGTCAGATTCCAAAGCATTGACTATAACGAAGTCTTTTCTCCTGTTGTGAGGCATAGCTCTATTCACACTTTACTGAGTATTGTTGCCATGCATGATTTTGAGATTGAACAATATGGATATTAAAATTGCATTTTTACATGGAGAATTAGAAGAGGATATTTATATGGAGCAACCTGAAGGTTCTGTTATTCCTGGAAAAGAAAATCTTGTCTGTAAGTTAAAGAAATCTCTGTATGGATTGAAGCAATCCCCTAGACAGTGGTACAACAGATTTGACACCTTTATGCTCTCTCAATGTTTAAAAAGGTCTAATTATGATAGCTGTGTTTATTTGAAAACTGTCAATAGTTCTACTATTTAATTGCTCCTTTATGTTGATGATATACTTATTGTTGCAAAGAGTCTGTCAGATATTAATGAACTAAAGAAGCAATTGAGTAATGAATTTGAGATGAAGGATTTGGGTGCAGCAAAGAAAATACTTGGCAATGAAATTTCCAGAGATAGACCGTCTGGAAAAGTATATCTAAGTCACAAGGGATATATGGATAAAGTTCTTCATCATTTTAATATGCATCATGCCAAACTGGTGAGTACTCCATTAGCTGCAGACTTCAAATTATCATCAGCTTTATGTCCTAAGTCAGATGCAAATATTGAGTACATGTCTAGAGTTCCATATTCGAGTGCAGTTGGTTCACTTATGTATGCCATGGTTTGTTCTCGTCCAGATTTGTCATATGCATTGAGTGCAGTCAGTAGATGCATGGCTAATCCTGGAAAAGAGCATTGGAAAGCAGTTAAGTGGATTTTCAGATACCTACGAGGTAGTTCTAAAGCTTATTCACAATTTGGGAAAACTGGAGATGGACTTGTTGGTTTTGTTGATTCTGATTTTGCTGGTGATTTGGATAAGAGAAGATCGCTCATAGGTTATGTTTTCACGATTGGTGGTTGTGTTGTGAGTTGGAGAGCAACTTTGCAGTCTATTGTGGCTTGTTCCACTACTGATAACGAGTATATGGCTATTTCTCAGGCATGCAAAGAACCTATCTGGCTGAAAGGTTTATATACTCAGCTTTGTAGAGATTCATCTTGCCCTACCGTATTTATTGATCCTCAAAGTGCTATATATCTTACAAAGAATCCAATGTATCATGAGAGAACAAAGCACATTGACGTCAGATATCACTATATTTAAGATGTTGTTGCTGAAGGTGATTTGAAGGTATGCAAGATAAGTACGTATGATAATCCTGCTGATATGATGACAAAGCTAGTTCCTACCAATAAGTTTGAGCTTTGCTCAGGCTTAGTTGGTATTTCTCACTAGTCCTATGGACTTTGACGCACAAGGTGTTTATGCTGATTTGATGGAGTTATTCACTTTCTTCGACTACTGGAGGGAATTTGGCTCAAGGTGGAGATTGTTAAATTGTGACCCAAATTATACCGTATTGGACTAGACGTAGTACATACGGCGTAGGCCTTTGCGTTGGTACCGATGCGTATGAGTACAGCTCGTTTACTTGTCCTCCAAGGACTCTTATGTATTACCCTCATATATACCCCATGTAGTTGCACCTAAAGACGGTATGTTGTCTCATGCTTGTAATACTCCTCCATCATAGTAATTGCGCCTTCGTGCGTCCGTGGTTTTCTCCCGCAAATGTTTCCACGTAAAAATCTGTGTGCTCTCGTGTCTCGTTTTATCTCGCTTATCTAACAAACACAAGGGAGGAACAAACTCTCCATAGTTGTAGGTGATCAATGATTAGGCGATGAAGGTACTTTTCTGATGATCGCACCGCATCGAATGTCATGCAATTCCTGGTCTTCCAAATTCACCACGGGATTATAGCCATGGGGGTTCCTCGAAGAGATAGTCCCCACAAGTGGTGGAGACGAGAAAGCCTAGCAGACATTATCAATGGGGTATTGTCCCAAAAAATGGCATCTTTCGGATGAGCAAAACGAAATGTCCTGGAGTCACGGGCAGCC